TACCTGGATGAATTCAGGACACATGAAAGCAAGGTCTCCAACAACACCACCCTGAACAAGGGCATCTGCAACCCCAAAACATGCAACCAGAACACAAATTCCCGAGAAAGGTCCGATTCCACCCTTCCCCGATGTGGCTACATCCAACTACACCACCAAAATCAAATCTTTTATCAATTTGGATGAACTACACATTCACATGGTCTGAAAAAAAAATATTTACAGCAGTAAACTAAAGAGAAACAATAGTGAGTGTGTACTGTACCATCAGTAGTGCAAAAGTAGCCAGGCTGAATAGAGAAAACCCTACTAAATTTCTGATCCTTGTATTAACCTTTTGATCTTTATATGCAAGAATTGCAATTGCTCCAATTGCAAAGGGTTGATAAACCAGGGTAAGCACCCTAGAAGGATGGTAGTCCTATGCATGAGAAACAAAGAATTAATAAATCATACTCCGTACTTAATAATTAGATTTATCATTGAAAATGAAAATTAAGTAAACAAATAAACTTTGGGTACTCAAGAAGAGATTAAAATAAACAGATTCTCACAGGAAATAACTGGTAATAGTAATCTCCAATAGTAAGCATGCTATTCCAAGCCACAAGAGAACCCAGTCCCAGAAACCAACACACTATAGTTGCAATCAGTTTCCCCTGAAATTCCAAAAAGAAAACATTTTTTTCAGAATCACACAAATTCAACAATTACCAGATCAAAAAAAAACAAGAACAAAAACCAACCAGCAATTATAACAAAAACAAGAACCTGAAGCCTGGCCGGAGTTTCCCCGGTCGATTCTTCAACAGTGGTAATCATGTCTGTTTGTGGTAAGAACAGATTGGTACTGATATTAATAAATAGTATGATGAAGAATTTAAGAATGGGGATGAAATATAATAATGAGTCAAAGAAGTGAAAAAGGGAAGAGATGCGCCTACCTCCGGCGGCTGTGCGTTGACAGCCAAGTGTGAATAAAGAGAAAAAGATTCTTGGAGGGTGGATTAGAGAAAGAAGATTCCCACCAGGAATCTCTGTGTATTAGATTAGATTTAGATTGGGATTATGAGTTCTTATAATTTGTGCCCGTCCCCAATGAATAAATAAATACAGTTAGTAAAACAAGATTGGGAGTGTGAACTGTGAAGAAGTCTGGAAGAAGAAGGAAGCCTATTTACAGAAATTTTCGCATAATTTTATGCAACAAACCTCCTCATGGACAGCTGTTTCTATTTTATTGCGGTCATTAGACTTAAATGCAATTTACTCCCTCTCTCAAATTAGACTAATATTTTTTTTGAAATTTATCTCTCGATTATTTTTATTTTTTTGTATATTTTTATTGAATATTTGATAAAATAAAATATTTTATCATTTCTTACTTTAAATATAAGAAATTGTAATTCAATTTGGGACGCATGAAATATACAGAGTTTCTTTTTTCTATAATTTCCCCCTCATTTTACATAATCAAATTTTTTCTGATTATGTTACAATGTACTACTATCTTTGCCCCGAAATTGATTCTAAGTGTTTTCTTACTTCTGGATAACTTTTTGATTATTTGTGTGTTTTCATACTCGTATATTTTTGTTACAACTTGTTTTATAGATTTTTTGAAATAGTTTTTTACTTTTTATTGATATATCAAGTTATAAATAAAATAATTTCAAAAGATGAGAAATTTTTTTTGGAAAATTCCTATTTGTGATAAAAAAAATGGGATTAAAAAATATCCCATTTTTTTAGTTATACCTACTAACTTTTATCAGTAAAATATATTTATAAAATGATTCGCAGTTTTAGTGATATAAAAATGTTTTTGTTAACAGATATTAGTACTCTATAAATTTTAGGGTTTTTACCAAATTCTGAGATGCAGAAATAAGAAGTATATTAATCCATTTATCATTTTAAGTAGAAAAATCAAAGATAAAAATTTTGACAGAGGATTAGACATTTCATTAATTTCCATATAACCCTTTCAATTTTTTCCCATATGTGTCTCTGTGAGATATTTTTAGATGTATTTCGTGTGTGTTAGTTTAAAAAGTACTCGTACTTTAGTTTCTGGATTTTGGACACATGAACATAAACATTTATCTTTGTTATTTTTCCCGCTTGGTAACATAAACTATATAAACTCAAGCTAAAACTGCTCATAAGTGTGTGTCTCCTCATCATTAGCAAACAAGTTGATCCAAAAATCTCTCCCACAAGGCCACAAAGGAAATATTTTAACATTAATCTATAAGCAAATTACAATATGGCCACAAGTTGATCCAAAAATCCTTCCACTTTGTATTTGCATTTGTGCCACTTTACATATTGACGTTATGAAATGCATATGTTCATTTAGCAAAAAGTTTATTTAAAATAAACATAGTTTTACCGTCCTAAAACTTTCTTCCTAATTACTATTCACACGGTCAAACTTTAATCATTTTCTTTATCTATTTTCGTTAGTTATTTGATAAAATAATATAGTATTGTCATCTCTTGTTTAGTAAAACTTTTGATATAGTTTTTAAATATATAAATTTTATATTAAAATTCTATCTTTATAATTAAATAAATTGAATTAAAAATAATTTCAGTCAAACATCATAAATTGAATTGGAAAAATGTTTTAGAATGGAGGGAGTAAAACTTAAAGGTCAAAATCTTGTCGGGAGCATTGAGCAAAGAAAGGGATGTCAAGAAAATAACAAAATAAGATCCAAATTTGATTTTCAATAACTATGCTCTGAGATAAATATAATACCGAGTACTTAAATATACAAGTACTAGCTGCATGTTTCACCCTTAATTATTGTATAGGTCAACCTTTTTTAAAAGTCAAAATCTTCAAGTTGGCGGGGAATTGAATTTGGAGTTTATTTTATTTGCCCGGACGACCAAAAGAATCTGAGTGATCGACCCCAAATTAATGATTATAAGCATGTACAGATTACATCATATTCATTTTGTCTTAAATTAATCATCTCACTTTTTTGTTTATCTTAAATAATTATCTTACTTTTTTATTTTTCATAATAGAGTAAAAAATATTTGGTACACGTTTTTTTCTTCTACTTATCAAATTTTAATCACTCATTTTTTATTTTTCACCCTTTTTAAAAATTCAATAAAATCAAATTGTGACGATTATTCAAAACAGAAGAAGTACTAGTTAGAAGTCACTATCATTTAGGTCTTGTTTGACATCAACGTTAGAAGCATTAACTCTAAAACGAAAATCATCATCCTTTTCTCATTTGTTCATCTTCTTGGTGGAAACCAAAATTGAAATGGGTAACTTTCATGAATAGTTTCAAGGGTTAGTCTCAGAAAATTTCAAAGAAAACAAACCTTAAAATTCATTCATGAAGGTTACTAGCTTCGATTTTGGGTTCCACTAGAAAGACGAACAATTGAGAGAGAAGTGATGGTTTTGATTTTGGGTAAGACTTTCAGACTCAGCGAAGGGTTTGGAAAGGAGTACAAAAGGATGGAAGAAGCTTAATTGATTAGAGAGAAGACTCTGAATTTACAATTTTATCCATAGTCTTAACGAGAATGTAAATAGAAAATCATTTATGGAAAATAAAAAAAAATTGGAGACTAAGTTTTTGATATTTGATATGTGGAAACTAAATATGGAAAATGACCTATAACTAGGGACCTTTTATGAAAATTACTCTAATTAATATTTAGTGCTAGACACTTGTTTAACAAGTATATTTGACTAGCTATATATATATATATATATATATATATATATATATATATATATATATATATATATATATATATATATATATATATATATATATATATTCTTTATAGTACTATAGTATTTGAGACTCATGTTTCCAAGAAGTTGACATGTGTCATCTTAGATGGCACATGAATAAATTACATGGCATGCTTTAAATAATTACTCATCATTTATGAAAATTTATTTATGATAACCTTTAAAATATGATGAGTTTAGAATAATATATTTTATATTGAAAAATTATGGACTTTTGAATTTACTAAAAATTATGTAAATGAAATAAATGTAATTTTTCAACAAAAATTAAATAAATTAATCATAAAAAAGAAACTAATCATGATTAGTGCGGGTCTTTTTTTCATAAAAACGAAAATAATAATAAAACTCTTTCGAGTTAAATATAGTTTTTAAAAAATTATTAATTTATTCTTTTGTATGAAAATTTATTGAGCAAAAATAATACTCCGTATATTCTTGAGTAACTCATCTTATACCACTAATTAAAGATGAGAAATTTATTAAAGAAAGTTAGTGCATTATGGATCTATGTATATTAGATAATTTTTAATATAAAAACTTTGTGATTTAATTAATGAATTCAATAACTTTTTTAATAATGAAAATTTCTTTAAATATATAATATGGAGTATAAAAAAGCTGTCAAGATTTAAATTTTGTTTGAGATATTATATACATTAACATCACGGTATTGATAGTCTTTAAAAGTATTAATTTATGATATAAACAGTGTTTATAAATGATAAAACTTTTGTTTTTAAATGAAAGTATTTTCATAAAGGAAATATAAATTTTAAAAAGAATTATTTTCTTCCTCTCTATTAGTAGGACTTTTTGAGCCTTTATTTTTCTTATTGGAACATAATTTTCATTGAGAAAATGTTTAATAGTAAAAATAGATAATTGAAAAAAAATAATCTTGATATTCATATATTTATAGATTCAAGGATCGAATGACAACATATATTTTTGAATAGAATATATTAAAATAGTTCTAGCGCTCTACATGGTTTGAAGAAAAGGTATTAATACTTCATTCGTTTTCAAAACTTATTTAAAAAAATGTCTATCATTTCAAAAGGTTGCACACGCACCACATCGATTCGTACTATTTTCCGTTCATTTTTCATTAAAAAGGGGGCATTGATACACATTTCAATCAACATGAGCTGATGAGCATCAATGCATATTATAATTTTTTTAGCTTTTTTCATATATAATTGTTCTTTATAATATTTTAAAATTCAAATTGGTTTGTATTTGAAATAAAAAACCGAAATTAAAAAAAACATAAACTTTTCTCCATCTAAAGTTAAACATTTTTGTTTTTATAAATTTGGATGAAAAGTATTATTGTTTATTCGCGGTATATGCATTTGCAGGTAAGAAAATTATTAATTTTGTATAATAATAATACACAAAGGTTCTACATCCACTCACTTTTAATTCGTTCAAGATCACACTAGCTTCAATAGAAGTATCCTACGTGCACCGTTCACAAAATTAATGGTTCCTAACCTTGACACCCCGGGAAATCCCCACCCCAAAGCAAGTAGTTGCAATAATAATAATAATAATAATAATAATAATAATAATAATAATAATAATAATAATAATAATACAAAAAATGCATGCAAATAATTTTTTAAACACTATTGAAAAGAATCAAAAGAAGTCAGATGAAACTAAAAGAGTGGAATTTTTTTTAAATGTTGGAAGACGTTGGAAGAATTAAATTGAAAGAAATTAGAAAGAGTTGAAAGAAACTAAAAGAAGTTAAAAGATAACAATAAATTGGAAGTTCAAGGTGCATTTAGTTGTGGGAAAATATGTTTCTAGATAATTATTCTAGGAGAAACTAATTTTCACAAAAATTGATATTTTAATAAAAACAAAGATATTTTGAGATAATTTTAAAATATTTTAAGGGAGCATACTTTATTCTTTATACACAATCAATATTGAATCTTTCTATAGTGCTCCATTCTCGGGGCAGTGAGGGGAGGGGGTGGCGGGGGCGAGAGGAGATGATGCGGGTGTGGGAGAAGGGATGAACTCGATCGAAGAATTTTAGAGTATTTGAAGATTAAGTAAAAAAATAAATTTTGCTTCAAAACAAACAAAAGTTATTTTCAAATCTTTGAGAAAAATATTATTCTAAAAAAATGATTTCCTACCACTTATGTAACATAACATTGGAAAGTAGAATTATAATTTTTTAGAAAAGTTTTTTTCTTTCAACCAATTAAATAGGCAGAGTAAGATCTAAAAGGACATAATCTTAAAAATTTGAAGAACATTTTTATAATGAACAATAATTTCGTTCTGCCCGTGCCACACGGGTTAAAAAAAACTAGTGTGTATATATATAGTACCAAACCCTTTTCATTATTCTTTAAATAATTCCTATGAAATTTGTTCTTTTTGGTTAATGAACCAAAAGTAGAGCGGCCAAACGGAAAGTGCATGAATTTTAGGCTGAAAATACTGTTAACCACGGAATTGAGGGCGTAGAATCTATAAATATGACGAGTGTCCTCGACGGTATTACGTGGAGAAATTATACTAAGAAACACAGTACCACACGCACCCTTCAGTTCGATCCCCATGAGAAATGCTTTCGTTAGCTTATTAGATTTGTTTCGGACCTAATTACCACAAAGACATTCTTGATACATTAAAAAGTGAATGAATGTAGACGCACTTTATGTCTACATTCATTCTTCAATGTACCAAAAATGTCTTATCACACAGTTAATATAGAATGGAGGGAGTAGTTTGGAAACCTCGGGCAGGCTCATGGCTTTGTTGTAACATAAACCGGAATGCATCAAAGGTCAAACAGAACTTCTCTACGAGTTTACAATTGATGGCCACGATACAACACAGGCATTTACATTTACATCTAGCTACATGCTCTAAGAAACAAAAGGAATGGACCTAAATGAAAACAATGCTCCAAACCTGAATCACACACGGCATGGAGATCCCAAAGCTCAGAGCCTCAGGGCAACCGGCAGAGATGATGGGTCCCAACTTCAGGGGGGGGGTCTGGTTGGTTAGAATGTGGCCTAATGGGGTGGTTCAGGCGACGTTATAGATACAACGGGAGGTGGATTTTGCCCAAACACAGAATAGCGTCCTACGCATATTGTATCACCTCTGCCATGCCAGACTCCATCTTGGACATTGTTCATTTCCAATGTTCTGGACTCCTGCTTCACATTATAACCCATTAATGAATTATTGTTAACATTTCATTCGCCTAAGAAGTCTATTTCTTACTCAGCATTGTACAAATTTCTAAACTAGGTGGAAGAATCGACCTGGCATAAGGCGCAGCATGGACAGATAAAATGGTAGACACAATCATCTAAAGGACTGTCGCTACCCTGCAGAATCACACAGCCGAATATTACCACGCAAAAAAAAAATCAAGGCATTTTTGCAGAGGCCGAGGATGAAGAAGGATAGATATATAAGTTCTCAATTTACGAAGATAAAAGTAATTTGAACTATAACAAACCGAGTAATCCCAATGCACTTGGGGTTTGGAGGTCAAGATGCACACAATCTTATCCCTATAAAAAGACGAGCTTTTTTTGTTGTACTCAAAACATACATAGTAAGAAGCTAAGATATAATGTTTCACGTATCATTTTGATTTACACCATTATTTACCCAGAGCTAAAACATTGTCAAAATTGACTCTTAGCTTTATTGGCAATGGACAAATATCTAAAAAGAACCTTAGTGAGTTTAAACCAATGTTTTCTTTTCAGCATATTCCCCTCTACTACTATACGTATTTGCTTTCCTAGCATTTTGAGAGCCATAACGTTAAAGCATTCCCAGTACAGAGTTCTGGTCAAAATTTCCTGGTCCTCCTCAAAACACCAAATAGAACTTGGACCCCAAAGGATAATTATCACGACTAGAGAGCCTAGTGCAGTAGTGTCTTAACTCCATTAGAACAAAAACAAAAACCAGCCCAGTGAGGTTCCACGAGAGGGGTTTCAAGAGGGTGGTGTATGCAAGTGTTACCCCTGCTTTTAACAGTAGAGAGTTTGCTTCTGAAAGACTCTCAGATTAATAAAAAACATGAAAACAAATTCGAACAATCAAATATTAAAAGATGAAAGTGTCTTAGGAAAGAAAAACTTACCCTAATATTAAACTTTTTCCTAATTTTGGTTCGACAGATTCCCAAATATGCTCCAACAGATATGGTAAAGGCAATGGATAAGTAGAGAAAATAGTGTCTCTTGGTGACGACAAATGCTAGCATGTTTATGAGGGCTATCACAACAGCAATCATATAAATAAATCCCTGCACACAAAAAGAGCAACTTTTAACATCAACACACATGATAGCTTTAACCACCCACAGATGAGAATAATTAGTAGTGTAATTAGCATAAGTTGATTTGAAGTTAAATTGATTAATTATTGACTATTTGCAGTACATAATGAGTAATGGCATTCCCACGAACTTAGTTATGTCGAAAAGTATCTACCTGAATGAAACAAGATCGTGAACCGGCTCGTTTCATGTTTTTTCCAAATCTGTAGCACGGGCAGCTACAAGGCATCATTCAAATCAGCAACAAAACGACAAGTTCCGGTTTAGGAAACGTGCCAAAGCTAGAACCCTAATGAAAAACTAAAAAAAAGTTTCTATCCAAACCATTAACCATAGATCACTATATCAAGTAACAGACCAAATTCAGCAAAAGAACAAAAAACCAGACAAGAACCCTCACCAACTGAAACCCTAATTAGGTAAAACAATACTGAAGAAATAACAACATAAGAAAAAATTCTTGCACAGTTCCAAACTTCAATCTCATCCATAAACGCCCAGACACGAAGAAGTTCAAATCAAAGTTCTTCAACTGGTGATTGAGAAGGATAAAAAACAAAGGAAACCCTAACCCTAAATTGGGGGTGGTGCCATGGCAAATCAATACAGAAGCAGCAAAATCATGTGTAAATACCAAGTGGATTGAAGGGCGATTTGGCGGTCATCTAAGCAATCATACAGAAGCTCGCCTTCCCACATCCTAAAAGCTCCTCTCCCTTCACCGTATCCATGGCGGCCGGCACCGTCATCATCCACTTCACCTTCCAAATTCACAAAGTTGCCCCATTTCCCACTCTGCACCTGCATGGCCACCGTCGAGCACAACATATCGAAATCCAACATCGCCACCCCGTCCAATAACCTCTCCTCCTCCGCTTCCCCTCTCCCATCGCCGCCTGCTACGCCGCCCCTCTCCATTCCTCCTCTCCCCTCTTCTGTAGCACAAAAAGACACAAATAGATAAAGGGTATCGGTGGATAAACGGTGAAATCAACTAATTAATTAATAATTTATCCTGAGAGATTTCTTTTTCCTTTTTTTTTTGAAGGAAGGAGGAAGAAGAAAATGAATTCTGTATGATTGGTGAAGAAGGGCAGCCCAAAACCTAATAAGGGAAAGAAATGAAGAATTTGTGAAGCAGAAAACGATTAATTACTCGAGCACTGTAATTAATTAAGGTAAGAAATGGGGATTTTAGTTGGGGCGGCTAATAATAATTATGGAAAGTATGGCCCACTTTTGAGACGTCCAAGCTGGCGCCACATGCGCCCCCGTGGATATAGCCTTTATGTTTTTCTCCCTTGTTATCCTCTCCACATTTTCCATTTAATACTCCCTCCGTCCCAAATTATTTGCCACATTTGTATTCTCGAGGTAAAATATTAAGTTTTTTTAATTCATTCTATTTACATATTGGTAAAGAAATAAAAAATAAAATTTACATATAAAAAAACTACATGAAAAGTTCTTCGAAATAAGAGGTGTCAAGAATATTTTATTTTATCAAATAATCAATGAAAACGTCGAAATAAACAAAAGTTTCCGACACTACTGAAAAAGCAAATGTTGTGAATATTTAGGGACGGAGGGAGTAATTTTCTACATTGAAAATTGCTAAAACAATTCCATTTTTTGTTTTTGTTTCATTGTACAGTGTTGGACCTAGCAAAAAATGATCCGACCTGTTTTTAACATGAAAAACACTGGGTTTTGAACAAAGGTTTTGATGACCGAATCCGAAGTTGACCAAACCACAAATGACCCGCTAAAAATGGGTCAAACCCGACCTGACCGACCCGCTAAAAATAGAATTTTTCAAAATCATACACTTCACTACTCGTTTTTTAAGATAATAAGAATTATCTTACTTTTTTCCAAAACTTAAACATTTTTTAAATTTCTTATATTGATTTATATATCTAAAAAATACTTCAGAATTTAAATTACTTCAGAATTAACTCGTTGGGTCAACCCGAACCCGATGACATTGGGTCATGAACATATACTTCTCAACCTGAACCTGAATTGACCCGAACACAAAATAACCCAAACTCAAAGTGACCGAACCCAAAACCGATTTGCCAGCTCTATACAGTGTATATAACTCCCATTTGATTTTTCACTTTCTATTTGCATTCTGTTCTATATGTAATACTAAATTCGTCCCCAATTGATTTGTACATTTACCATTTAAGCTTCCCGATAACTTTTATTTAATCGAGGATTTTTATTGATCATTTAATAAAATAATATATTCTTGTCGTATCTTATTATGTAGAATTTTTTATGTAGCTTTTAAAAACTCCGTATGTAATTTGTATTTTTAAATTTCTATAACAATTTGTAGATAAAATCATTCTAAAAAGATGAGATTTTGCACGTTATTTGAAAAGTATAATAAATTTGGGATGGAGAAAGTGTTAATTATTTTCTTTTTCTTTTTTTTTTACGAAATAGTTGTACCATCAACCCCTCTTATATAAACACAAATAGTCACACACTCAATTGATCTAAGAAAATAATTTTATAATGCACTTATGATGTTAATACAAAAATGATCCATCTTTAGCAACAACAGCCTAGCTAGTTGGATCCAACGCTAGTGGGGTTTGAGCAATAATCCATCTCTATATATCATTCAGTTAATTAAGTTCAACAAATTGTTGTAAACACTATCATTAATTTTAATTTAATTCAATTGAAATTAAGCCTAAAAACATTTATGACATTATAATAAACTATATTTTTCATCGTATTATGAACTCTATTAATACATATTTTCTCAATTTATTGAAGCACAAATAACACCTCTATTAGGATTTAAAGATGTGACTTCCAATTTGGAAGAGCACGTCTACTTGTACAAACTCTCACTTTTCATTTAAAAAATGAAGTTATGTGATTATAATTATAACTCCAAAAAAGGTGGAACACTCGCATCAGACGTCTCTATACTGCATCCCAACGGAGTAATGAAGAGGTAAGTCAAGATATACAATTAGTGAGGTACATGGAAAGGCCGTCACATGCCCGAATTGATAGAATATAAAATTTGTTTTCTGTTATTAACACAAGCTCACGAGACTTATATCCACGCACATCAACACAATAATAAAAAATTGTCAAAATTTTTAAATCAAGAAAATTTGTTTTTTCATAATTAAATTTTAACAGAATCCGTTTGAAAACTCAAAAATGGTACTGAAGTAATAATTGTCATCATTTAATTGATTTTAAAATATCCGGAGTATATATTTTGTACTCCGTACTACGAAACACCGAATATAATTATATATGCGACGATTTGATTGGTCTTTTCGATTTGATCTTTATAAAAGAACTAAAAAGGAAATTAGAAAATTAAGGCATCGTCGTTAAAAAAATGAACAACACACTCAAACAAGTAAAAGAAACTCCAATTATTAGCATTGTATTTTTGCTAAGATAAAGTCCTCCTTTTTCTAAGAAAACTTCACCTATAAACACTAATAAAAGTAAAAATAGAAGAATAATATGACAAAGGCAACTTCAATATTTCTACTTCTTATGCATCCACTCATCAAGAATGAAGAATGTTAGCCATAATTTTTTATTAGTGTCATGATTGTCATCATGTTTTAATCACTTGCAAGATTCCAACAATCCAACCCCTAATGTGTTGATAACAATAATTGCATTATTGAATAGAAGTCCATATAATGGCAAGTTTCTGGCATTAATAACTCTAATGCAATTTTTTACCCTTTTCCAATTTTATTTAATTAATGATCAAAGTAACCAAAATCAAATTGAACAAAAACTTTAAAAGTATAATATATTTCCTCCGTCCCAATTTAAATCGCTTTTGATTTACCATTTTGACTGAAGTTATTTGTTATATGAAAAATGATGTAGAATTGAAAAATAAAATTACATATTTAAAAACATTATCAAAAAATCTAGAAAACAATTGGTGACATGACTACATTATTTTATCAAATGACTAACAAAAATAGAGAAAGAAAGAAAACAAAGCTTGACTCTGTAAGTAGTAAATATGCAGTCTAATTTGAGACGGAGGGAGAGTAGTATTTTTACACTAAAACAGAGATTTATATAAAAAAAACGATCTCTCCACCTTTTTACGTCAAATAAAGAAACAACCCAAATCCCACGGATGAAAATCTACTTGACTAATGGCTGGGGCGGTTGTTTGGTTGAACGCTCTGTCCTTTGGTTGGATCCAAAATCACTTCAAGCAATCCACCCAAACACAGCTCATTTATTGGAGGTCGGCAAAGATATTTATAAGACAAAGGTGCTTTTGGGAACTAACTTCACCATTTCGAGTTAGCATTTTAAAAATGCTATCGGGGAAAAGCGTTTAGCCATAGCATTTTCAAACTTAATCTCCACCATCAAAATTCCCAAACAAGACCTACACCTTACAAGTTCAACAAACACCAATAAGAAACTTCAATAAGCATAACCATTAAACAAAACAGATTGAACAAAACTTTATCAGTAATATATCATAACACACAGAGACAGTGTCATTCTGCTGATTTGACTAGTCAGGACCCTTTATCCAAGAGATCCATTCATGAGAACAAAGAAACATAACAAACCTGGAGGAGGATAGGATGGGATGTTCAGACAAACATAGTCAATTCAGGCCTGCTGTATGTATTGTTACCCTCGTCCTCCAGAAGAGGGTAAGCGGCGACGAGTGCATCCTGGGCCCCAATGTACAGGGAATTATAAATCTTCCAGTAAACCTCCCGAACCTTGCGCGCCGGATGGAACAGTCCCTGCAGACAATAGTTGAGGATGACAGCAGCACCAAGTGCCACGCGCATACCTTCGATGGCCTCCATTACTGCATTGATGACGTGCGGAGAAGTTTCGAAGATGTTTGGCCAGACATAATTCAAGAGGTGTACCAGAGCATCTTCACATCCAAGACCGGCCACCCCCAATGCCATGTGCTTCACTGCAGAAGCTGCTGTTTGTCTGTGAACCAAATCGCGATCCATCAAAGCGTCCTCCAGCAGGGGGGTCACTGCATATATGTAGTCCTTCCCCATCTCCCCAATGTACTCGAAAAGGAAGGAAAGGGATTTCAGCACGCCGTTCTGGACATTAAGCTCCTGGACCCGATATTCATTCATCAGTGCGGGTAGGACAGTGAAGGGAAGGCAAGTTTCTGCAACAATTGCAATTGCAACTGTTGTGCAGACACGGTTTTGTCGTTCCTGGACCTTGAGGTTGTTCAACAGTGTTGCAAGCACGTCTTGGGGACCAATTGCTTTGGCAATATAGCCGAACGTGTTGACTGTTGCTCGCCGGATACCCTTTTTATGGGCTTTAAGCATCTCGAGAAGCTCAAAACAGATTCTCATCCATTCTCTTGCAGGTACAAACTCAGCCCCACGGTCAGCAATACGCCCAACCAGATCGATACAGTTCTCTTGGACTTTCTCGTGACGATTCTTCAAAATAGGGGTTAATCGTGGAAGCAAGTCTTTGATTGGAGGTGTCATCTTAGTCATACCAATGACATTCACAATTGCCTTGAGGGCACCCAATATGGACCCAAGAACCTCTGGATACTCTTCTCCCAAATACTCGTACAGCACCACACCAAGATGGCCCATTAACTGTTCTTCCCCACACTGTTTCATGACCACTGCAATCCTGGAAATCAAATCCGCAGCTTGTTGTCTCACCTTAGCACTTTTGTTGTTCAGGCGCCACTTTATGGTACCACAAATCTGGGGAAGGTAGGGCTTCACTTTCTGTCCAAGGGAATTGACAACAGCACCAAATCCATTCAGCATTACATTGGCATCATCACTCGTCTGTTCTTGGAACGCATAAAGGATTCCATCAATCAGAAGCTCTTCTAAACGAGCATCGATGTCAGATGCACCTAGATTTTCAACAACCTTCTCAATTGTCTCCATCACCATTCTTCTATATGGTTCGCTCTCGTCTTTTAGATCTTCCACAACTCTCCCCACTATATCTGCAACACCCACCTTGTTGGCAATTTCTACTGTTGTTTCCACAAGCTGTCTGTAGTTACGACGGTCCAATGCCATTCTTCTTACCCAGAAATTACGGAAGAACTCCGGAAGAATATCGGTCCTGATATAATCAGCCTCCACGCC